CTACCGAAAGGAGAAGCGGATCCCGTAATTACTATATACAGAAAAGAAACCCCTTAGACACAAAGTCCCACCTTCCCTCCAGCTCGCAAACCGGTTGTGCTCAGCCCAGCTGGGCAACTCATCCTGGAGCCGACGCAGCCCAACCAGGGAAACTGGGATACACAGGAGCATCATCCAGACATTTACATTTGTAGGCAACACACAACAAGCGGCATGCAACGGTTTTGTTAGAGAAGTCAAAACAATCGATGGCTTTAACATTAGAAGCGTGTCCCGACGTGGTCAAGTCAACATGCTACCGGAGGAGACGTACCTAACAGCAGGTTACTCCATTCCTGTGACCTAAGTGAACATGCGTCGGTTAGTTCAACACAGATTTCCAAAAAAAAACCAACCAACCCACATCTGAAGTGCACCAAGACCACCAGATTCAGAAAAAAAAAAAATATTATTAATCTACATTTACAATAAATATTTCCTTGCAACGGGTTTTCTCCCATAACACGGTGTGTTTTCTTGCAAAGGAGGACAGGGAAACTGCGGTGCTTTGCAAAAGGCTTCCCCCCCGCCGGGAAACCGGCAAGCTGCCCGTCCCTGTCTCTAAGTTAACACTAACATCGGCATTGATAATCAACATTTTTTATTTAAATGCCAATCTTGATTTCCTAGAAAAGGAGTGGTTATGGATTAGATTCAGCAGATCGCTGCAAAGCCTCTTTGGGATCAGTACCAAACGTTCTTCAGCTTGTGAAGGCCCACATTTGACACAACAAGCTTAAAAGCAAGTCTTCAGCAATTCCTAGGGGAAGTCTACAGGGGCTGAAGAAGCAAACGTCTCCTCCCACGGATTTACGCTCCCCGTCTGCCCTCTCACAGCAATCGGGAACACGGTTCAGAGAATTGCCTTTCGCACGCTAGGGAACTTCAGAATGGACCTGGCAATCCATGACCACTCCTGCCAGGTCCCGGATCACAGCTACACAATGACACACAGCGGCACGAACACGACGGTCGCGGGACGTCCCTCCCCGGGACAGCGAACTACAGAGATCAAAGACCAGGACAAGGAAGATGCAGCGGAGGCTACGGCCAAGAAATTCAGGAGCTTTGGTCTTGAGGTTTCAACACGACCCTGTTGCCACTCAGAGAAAGAGCAGCCACCAAACAGTCAGCGCTACGACCAGGAGAAAGGACATCATAAAGGGAACACGTGGAGAAGGAAAAATGCTAGAGTACAGCTGACACTTTTTGAGTGATTTCTGCTCTTCAGGAATTGGAATAGAAACCTTTGGAAGAGTTTCTTCACTTGCTTGCCGGGCAAAGGCTGTCTCAGTAGGTATCTCCTGCTTTTTTAGTTTGTCTTCATCCTGTACTAACAGAGGACGCTCCTGTGTCTGCTTTCGTGGTAGAAGATCAAGAAAGACAGAGAGAGATGAACAAAAATGACAGATGGAAAGTGCCCAAAATGATACTTGGAGGTGTGCAAAGCGTTAGGACAGCCTTCCTCTCAACGGAAAAATAAACTATGCTGGAGAGCAGAGCCGCTGGTGGCTTGGGTCACACCAGCCTGAGCTACAAAATCCAGTTCTCTCTGCAGAGCTCATGAACATCTGGATCAGGATCGTGCGCGTTTCGTCACAAATCTCTGGATCATGACCACGCGCGTTTCGCACCTGCCCTCCCAGGACGGCGTGCGCTCAAAACCTACCGAAGTGTTTTGGAATTGGAACGGTTGGGAAAGCGAGTCTGAGGCATTAGAAATAGAAATGGTGTAGTACAAAACGCGGTCTTTGACAGCTTCCTATTCTACAGCGCCCTTAAAAAACAGCGCCTGTTAAATACCGTTGAACATCCAGACTGCAGCGCAGATACAAAATGCTTGGTCAAAGTTCTGACGACAGTATCAAAATGTCAATTGTTTCAAAAATTCTACCGCAACAAGTGAAAAACTGTCACGTCTTAGAAACCCCGAGCGTGGAACAGGTGGGACGGCGGCAGGAGCTCTGCGACCTCCTTCAATTTTCCACCGCATTTGAGCACTTTTGTTTCTGGAGTCTAAAGGATGTAAAAAAAACCAGACCGAGTAAATCACCCACGGAGGAGCATGCAAGGGCTCTAGCGCTTTCGTTGAATAAAGAGAAGATTGTGGGAAATGTTGCTGTTTAGTAACTCTCCATCCCTTCAGTTTGCCAGCCCTGGTGAAACCCAAGTGCACCTTAGGAGAGGAAGAACTTGGCTCTGAGCTCTCTCAGCTGAGCTAGCCGCCTCTGATCAGTGCGGTATTTTGGGACCGGTTCTTTGCACACCCCTAAGTGATGAGTATTGGGGAGAAAGTAGCTGGGAGACTGGGTAGCAAAACAAAATATAAAATGCAAGAGTAACATGATCATTAAAACAAACAAACAAACAAAAACGGAAAGAAAGACAACATAAAAAGAACAGGGTACGGTTAAACTTTCATAATTGCTTTTCTCTCCGAATACACGGTTATATCTTTTCATGCAGCTTTTTCGAACCAGCCATGCACCAAAATAAGCAAAATCGAAAGCTGCAAAAGCTGCAGCAGTGCAAAAGTCCTCTCGGTGTGAGTTATGAAACTACTTCGTGTAGCCAAAAGAAAAACAAATGTTATCCAGCGGCTGCTGTTGAGTTTTCGCTTGGTGCCATTGCAATAGCAGAAGTCTGGTTCAGAAGCACATATCAGAACAGCAGCTTTACCTCAAGCCCACCAACCTGTCTCTCAGAAGATAGGAGAGTGACTTTCTTGACCTGGACACACAAAGCGTGTTAAGGTTCAGTTGTTTTGAAATAACACATATCGGTACAGCAGAAAAGCAGCCCCTGGCAGAACACCCTCCGGCCACTACGGCGGGGTGAAGATACCACCACGAACGGGAGAAACGGGATTTCCCATCCTCAAACGCGTGCAGGTGAAGGAAAAACCCCCTCCCCTGGGAAGTGCCTCTCAAAGATGCATTTCTGGAAGGTCACAGCAGAACGTGTCCACCTTCGCCTCAGAGCAACACCACTTCAGAGAGGATCGGATTAAGAGGGAATTTCCAGAAATGCAAATCCGGGGCTGACACCACCTCTCACGTCGCTGTGGACCGCTGCAGCCTTAGATGGGGAAAGCCCACACCATCCAGTTATCGTCAACAGCAGTCCCCCCCGAGACCTCACAAGGTGAGCACCTTGCAAGAAATTCTTCATAATAACCAAGAACATCGCTCTTGAACGGCAGTTGTGGAGCCGGAGAGCCCCTGCTCTATCTCACCCGCACATCCATAAACCACACGGCACCGTGGGCAGAGCTCCGCATCGCTCTGCTGCCCAAATTCCTGCCGAATCTACTCAGCAACCACAGAGGAAAGCCCATCCATGTGTTAAACAGGGTAATTCCAAGGATAATGATCAACCCTCAGTAGTTCATTTCAGGGGTTTTGTTTTTCTATTAGGAAAAAAAAGCCCTATAATTGTCATGGCTTTTCTCTACGCTTTGAGGAGTCTGTAGTAAAACTGGATGTTAAAAAAAACCCCTTTGCACATGTTCTGATAACCCTCTGTCCACTGCAAGATTGTTTCTGTTTGAAAAGTTATCTCCCTTGCAATGGTTTGAAGATGGAATCATAGAATCACAGAATGGTTTGGGTTGGAAGGGAGCTTGAAGATCACCCAGTCCGACCCCTTGCCCTGGGCAGGGACACCTCCCCCCAGCCCAGGTTGCTCCAAGCCCCGTCCAACCTGGCCTTGAACACCGCCAGGGATGGGGCAGCCACAGCTTCTCAGGGCAACCTGCCCCAGGGGCTCACCACCCTCACAGGGAAACATTTCTTCCTGATATCTCACCTCAATCTCCCCTCTTCCAGTTTGAAGCCATTCCCCCTCGTCCCATCACTCCATGCCCATGTCACAAGTCCCTCCCCAGCTCTCCTGGAGCCCCTTTAGGCACTGGAAGGGGCTCTGAGGTCTCCCCTTTTTCGCCTTCTCCTCTCCAGGCTGAACCCCCCCAACTCTCTCCCGCGAACTTCTCTGCGGCGCTGTGGGCAGGAAGGGGAGAAGCTACGCTTAGACCAGGAGAGCGTCTGCCACTGCCACCACTAGAGCCAGGATGCGATTTTTCAGTTGTAATGAAAAATTGCATTTATTTAAGAGACCGTTTACCACGGGCTCTAACTACAGTTTTACTCACAGGCTTCAAATCTGAGCCAGGTAACCCCAGCGTTACATGTAGAAGCTGTCTGTTACCCAAGAAGAAACCAGTTGGCAGACAGGTCTCTGCTGCTCCACCTTGGTTTCTTTGCAAAATTACCTTTTTAAGGGAATTAGAAGGGAAACTGTGAAGGTACATGGCTACTAACATACAGACACTGTTCCCGTAAGGAGAAAGATCCCCATCACGTATGAACAGCTCTGCTGTAGCCACCTGAGGAGTCTTCTTGAAGCCTCCACGGCAGAGCAGCACCTGCAGATCCCAATGCAAGACTAAACCCAATGACATACTGGGTTAACTGGAGAATACGGTGACTCTTGAAAATTGACACCATCCTAGTGCTTCTCCACTGGGTTACCTGCAGTATTATCTCAGAAGTAATAATTCCCTTCAATTTAGGTTTTTGGGTTTTTTTTTTTTTGGAGGGGGGGGCGGTTCCACATTTTGGGGAGACACATTCCCTGGCACCGGGAATACGTCAGTCCCCAAAACAGCCACGTGAAGTGAAGTCTAACATCACGGATGACAGCAGCGCTTGGAAAAACAGCATCAAAACCAGGTGAAGAATTCCTACATTATTTTCTACCAAAACCGAAAATCACATTTTTACGATACGACGACTAAAGCATCACTTCTCTCAGAGACCATTACACATTTTAAAGCCAATATTAACTATTAAAATTCAATATCACTAAAAACTACGGGGAGCTGAGGCTGAACCCCGGGTTGCAAAGCTGTGCCACAGAACAACGCAAGTGCACCCACACCCCCGCGCCGCCGAGGTACTCACTCCATCCGCTCCCGTGGGAATCTGCCCATTGACGTTGAGGGTTCGGAAAGGGGAGTGAGTGGACAAACGTTTGTCCCATTCACTCGGCCGAGGCTCCGGGACGGACTCCATAAAGTTCTTCTTCAACTCACTGATGTTGGCGTGATGCTTCTTTATTTCTTCTTGGGTCTTATCTAGATCCTATTAGTAAAAGGACAGGATAAATGAAGAGCCACGGAGACGAACCTGCGCTTGCCTAGGCTGCCGCATAGCAAAGCTGCGCTCAGCGGAGTTGTTGCCGACTTCCATCAATTGTGCTCACACTGCAAACACACAAAGGGAACGTCCTCTCTCCTCTTTCCTCTCGTATTAATTGGGATAAACTGCCATCGGCACGGAGTGGGGTCTCCTCCAGGAGCGGGACATGCCATCGGTTCACCTCAAGCTACAGCAGAGGAGATGACAGCGGAGGTGTCATCTCATGGGCTTTCCCCACATGGCATTTTTATAAGTTGCAAGACCACGTTTGTTTGGGTTATTTAATTTAATGCCTTTCAATTGGGTGGGTTTGCTCTCTTTTCCCTCTGCTAGCCTGACCATTCACGGGTATAAATGCAATTAATATTTAAGAAAATGTTTTCCCCATTTTATTTATTCCCTTCATACCTATTCTCTTCCATCCTACCGGGAATTATCTTTGGTTGCAGAATACCCCCGTTACCATTTTTCCCTCCCTCTCATCTCTTCCCTCCAGGAGCTACCGCAGGAGGTTTTAGACTTCTGCAATGAAGATGAGATGACAGCCCTCCAAAAATCAAACTGAGTATTTACTTTAGGCCGGATCAATCGAGAAACTCCTGGAAAAAGCCAGATTTCTGCTCTGTGATGCCGGTTTACAGCAGAAGCGCACAGACTTCAAGGCAAGTCAGCTCTCTTCAACTTGTTTAAAAATAGCTTTTCCTTGCAAGCAAAACAGAGTTGGGTGAGAACAAAAGCTTTCGCATGAAAAAGGCTTAAGCCAAACAACAACTTTTCTGGACAGTGCCAAAAAGCCGCAAGCCTCACCCGTCAGAAAGGGGGAAATTAAGGTCAGTAAAAGCATCACTGGGAAATCTCACTATTTCTGTGCTTTCGGTTGGTACTCAGCCCATCGATTTTAGAAGACGGGAGAGCGAATGCATCCCCTAAAGGAGGTGTCGTCCCCCAAAAATCTGCGTCCCCGCAGCTTCCCCAGGACACACCGCCCTCCCTCCGCAGGGCTACAGCCCCAAATGCCTCGTTAACAACATTTGCTCTTTTTGGCACGGTTCTGTGGTGGTGGGGAAACCAGTTTTGGCATCCGTTTTGGATGAAAGCACAAGGCAAGTGCCTGCTAGTTAGGGGGCGACAAAAAAAAAAGCACAAATAGGTGTGTGGAGGACTCCAGGGTAGAGCCCTCCCCGGGTCCAGGAGCTCTACAGCTGCTCCTGGTTTAGAGAAGAGAGAAAGACCACCTTGGCTATCCACCACTGCGCAAGAGCTGGTCCCGGGAGGGTTTGCAGAGAAGCCAAAGCCACGAGGAACTACGTGGAGCCACAACGGGTCTTGAAAGCATCTGGAGGAACAAGCTCGCCACGCGCGAACGCTTTTCCTCCCGTCTCGCCCTTTTTTGTAAGAAGACCGGAGCCGCGGGTTATCGAGCAGGGAGCGTTAAAAACGGCCTTCAATAAAATCAAGCGGCAGCTTCGGGAGTATGAGGTCTGCTGGAAAAAACGTCTGATCTGCCAAACGCACCGATTAAAAAAAAATAAAAATAAAAGGGATAAAAGGAGTGAGCTGCTGGGGTCAGCTCTTTTCTAGGGGAGGGCTGGAGAACCTGCAACAGAACCGTCGGGGAGGGCGGCGGAGAGGGAACGGGCCGGGTGGCAGAGCCAAGTATTGCACTAATGGGAAAAAAGGGGTTTAGAAGCGATGAAAAAGCTCTGTTTGGGGTTGGGGAGATGGAGATGCTCGAGTTGGGCGGAAGAAAGCAACAGGCAGAGTCTTTGCAGCGCTGCGGCGGCGGCCGAACCCTGCCCGTCGTGCCGCGGACCCTTCGCTCTGGGCTGAAAGCTCTAAGTTGTAGCAGTCAAAAAAAACAACAAAAAAAAAAGTCAAAAAAACCAAATTAAAAAAAAAAACAAAAAACAACACCCCAAAGCTGCAAAAATTTTAAAATTGAATTAGGAGAAGGCAATTAGTACACTTCAACTTTCAAGAGATACCAACAGGGAAACCCTACTGGCTGCTGGTGCTGCAAGTCTGAGTAGAAACACGTAACACAGAGTATCAGAAGCCACAAAACGTCTTCCGTTAACACAACGTCTTAAAAAACACTAAAATATACGATTGGCGTAGTCTGTTCGGAGACCGTGTTTGGGCGAAACCCAGTGCGAAGGGCTCCCAAAGATGAAGGGAACAGCGGTAACGTGGAGGGACGAAACGGCTTCTCGCCCGCTCGCAACCCACCCGCGGCCACGGAGGTGACAACTCCACCCGCGGCTTCTCCTGAATTTTGGGATTTCACACACTGTCTTCTCCCCCAGGAACATAATTTCTTTCAAGCAAGGAGAAACTTGTAAATGAGCCCCCTCCCCATCCCCAATTCATACCAGTGTGGGCGCCCAGCGGGTCCCAGAGCAGACCTGAGCTCTGCCAATCATATATTTTGGGTAAGTATGAGAGAATGAAAGTCACAAGAGGTAGAAGGAAGAATGCCTGCGCATCGTCATGTTTACTGTTACCATGCAAAAGCGTATTTAAAAAAAATAAATAAAAAAATAAAGGTCTTTCATGCAATGGCATGCAAAAACAAAGGCAGCAGCAGAAGAGGAAGAAAAAAGTTCAGCGCAGATGCAGAAGGTCTAGGCAAACGCAACTGAAAAAAGCTTCAAGTTCATACAAACCTCCAACATTAAATTGCTATGCCTGATATAAATGTTTTCACCATCTAGCCTCTTTGATCTCTTCTGTGAAAATGAAAGAAAAGGGGGAAACACGACAAAACAACAAAAAAAAGAAAAAAGAAAAAAGAAAAGCACAAAAAATTAAAAAGTTGTTCTTGCGGGATCGACAAATTGGCAAATTAAAAAAGTTAACGTAAAGGTTGGGAGCGCAGCGCCGGGCCAGCGTGGGGTGGGGACCCAGCCGCGGGGACGTCGGCGTGGGGCCACCACCGGGAAATGGGGGTTCTTGCTGATGGAGAATGGGGCGATGCAATGAGTCCTTTAAAGAGACAGCTCCCAGGGCGCCGCCGGCTTTTGCCTCGGTTTATATCGCTCGCCACAAAGAGACAAGCTTCCCGGCTTTCTGCGGAAGCCCCGCACCAAGTCACAACTTCCCATCCCCGGTGGCGACGGGTGCCCACCCCGCTGCACGCGGCCGTGCCGCCCGGTGGAACCTTTACGAGGTCTCAGCACACACAGTGACTGCGTCTTAACCACCTCTCCCATCCTGGCTATGTCCCCTAAGACTCAATCGATACCAAAAAAGCATTTTTTTTTTTTTTTTTTTTTTGGCATTTCCTGGAACGCACACTATAGTTTCCTTTGGTTTCTAATTAAATTTGTTACGGAGAAGCGGGGATAAATTTGATAAATCAAACCAAGTGTGTTCCTCTCGCACATTCAACATGCAGAATTTTAGCAATCAGACTGACTACGGGGCAAAAAGCTGCTCATTTTGAAATCAAATATTTGATAGTTGCAGTTGAAAAAAAAAAACCAAAAACCAAAACAAAATCCCCAACCCAAAGCACAGGAAGAAATTGGAGCACTGTCTTTTTAAACAGGTTACAGATGCACGAATGAGATGGCAAATTTGTTTGGTGAAAGTGTAAAAGGGCTAACCTTCCTCATTCTTATCAGTTCTTCCTCTTTTTCTGCAGGCTGCTGCTGTGGGGCAGTGATAAAAAAAAAAAAAAAAAAAAAAAAAAAAAAAAAAAAAAAAAAAAAAACAAAAAAGTTGTTGGTTCATTTAACTATGTTGAACCTCGCTGTTTAACCTTAAAAAAAAATAAAAATATGTGAGCAACCTAACTGAATTATTGGCACAAACCTGGGGCTGGTCACCATTCGTGGTGGGTACTGTGACCTCAATGTGCGTTTTCCTCACCTACATTTAAGAAATAAACGGGTAAAAACATTTCTTGTTAGTGGGCTTGTTTCAAGAGACCATTTAGTTTCAAAACACAGCTGCGTCTAAGTTGGTTTTGAAATTCTGGGTGAACATGCAAAAAACCAACATGCAGTCCTCCGGCCAGAGTTAATGACAGTCGGTTAGTTAACGGCACATCGACAATAATTCCTTCAGCTTGAGAATTATTTGCCTTTGAAACCAGTGCTCTCCAGTGCTTCTGAAGACGGGCTTCCCGCTTGCGTTAGCTTTGCCAGGCAACGTTTCCGAATCTCCTTTGCAGCTGGATCTCCCAGCGAAATCCGTACCGAAAGCCACATGCTCAAATTAACACGCGCCTTCTCAGAGACAGAAAGGTGTTACGCGCAGGTATTGCGTTCACAGGGTCAGTAAGAAGAGACCTATCTACAAAATCAAGCCTAACATCACGAATTAAGTTCTTAAGTAGAGAGCCAAGATTGTCTTAACACTTTTTAAGAAAGTATTTTAGGGAAATGGGATTGCCAAACGCTCCGAAGGCAAAAGCACCGGTGGGTGTTCAAAGAAGTGATGCAGCTATATATGAGAAACGGGGTAAATTTGGCACGTTCAAATCCACAATTTCCTCCCATATCTACATTTAAAGAAAAAAAAAAATAATCCAACGTTTAAGCACTTAGGAAAAAACCCTGTAATAAGTGAGATGGGATGAATAAAATAAACTTGTTCTCAGTTGAAGGCTAGGGAGGGCGAGCAGCCGCGCAGGAATGGCGTCAGAGGAACTGTGTACCGCGATGCACGCTCCGACGTGCCATCCTGAAGGTCTCTTCTGCCTTTTCTTTTAAAAATTACAGGTCACACAGGCCACGAATTCTTTTTAAAGCAACTGTCCTTTCTTCACCTTCATTTCCCAACCTTAATTAATAGTGATCTCCCCTGGAGTATGTCATACAAGACCCACTGCGTGATGTGTTATAGCAAAAATGTGGCTCCGGTAATGCTGAGATTACTCTTAATATGCAGAGTAATGTGAAAATTGTGTCTCGAGACATACACCTCTGCTGCAACACTGCAAGGGTTCAGTCAATAATATTCGCACAATATTAAGGGCACTGTAATACAACCAACATTTTTTCACATTATTTTCAGTTATGAGAAAAATACGCACAGATCAACATCAGCGGAGGTCTCAGACATTTGTAGAAAGCTCAAATAATGCTCAAAAAAAAAAATTTCGCTTGAACAATAAGCCCCCCAGGGTCTCAGCAGCGCCATTCACAACTAAAGTTTTAGTCCCATTTGTAGAAGCGTATGAACAGCTCTCCCAGAGAAAGCCTATCAACGTAAAAAACATTTGCCTTGAGATGCGGGGCTGCAGAGCAGATGCCTATCACTGGTTTCACTGGAATTGCTCCTGCTGTCATACCAGGAATCGGCAGAGAGAGCTTAGCAATGGCTGAGCTCTAAATTCAATTACCGTGAACCCGTGTGCAGTTCTCGCCAGCGTTTTTAACCATACATCGGTAAGTCGCATGTACTTTTGACTGCAACCACCAAAACCCAGCCGCCCCGGATCTCCTCCTCCCTCGCAGCCGGCGCGTCAGGGCTGGGATTGCCCCGGGATCCAGACCCCTGTACCTCATCCCACCCGATGCCCGGGAGAGGAATAAACCCCTCGGTGCCGGGCAGGGGAAGGTGCACAGAGCCGCTGCTGCTCCGGGGCGGTTTGCAGAGCCGATGCTCCAGCCCGGCACAAAGAGGTCTAACATACCTTTGACGCATCGGCTGCCTCCGGCTTGGCTTTCTCCGCTGGGATTTCTTGACCTCTCACATCAGGTTTTGCCGGTTCTTTTTCTACTTTAGAGGCAGCGACCACGTCCCTGGTGTCAGCCTTAGCTGGGACCGGCTCCGCAGCGTGGCTCTGAGCGATGGCCGGGGCAGAGGTGGGACGGGGACTCCTCTCGGGGGTTATCACGGCCACTGCTGAGGATGGGGGAGAGACAGACAGGGAGAAGGTTGAGAGTATGCAACGTTTCTGAAGTGCCGGGCAAAGTCTTTCGGAATTACAGTGCTGTCGTTTAAAAAGAAAGGGAGGAGGAGGAGGAGGAGGAAAAAAAGGGAAAAGAAATAAAGATGTTGAGCAAAGCAGCTTGTGCGTTTAGTACGGGGAAGTTGAGATTATTCTCCTTATGGTTTAAATAAAGTAAAACAAAACCCCACAACAGATGGTTTACAAAGAGCAAGCTTGCACTCTGCAGAGAAGCCACACCAGAAAGGCGAATCTGTTTTTGACACTGTGCCATCCATTTCTGGGTCCTTCGCACACAGCAGACACCAAAGTCCACCCCAACGCAGCCCTTCAAATAGAAACACTCAGAGCTGCGGTCAGTTCTCGACTCATTGGCACCTCCTCAACCGCCAACGGATGGTTTCTGGAAGGGCAACACAGGCTCTCCCCCTCATCTCCCCAATCTTTTCAGCAATTCAGACCAAAAAAAAGGACTCAACAAGCATTGCTCTATAAAACTTTACAGCAACTTCCAGGTGCGTTTCAAAGCAAGCTGGGGCTGTGTGTCCGACACGGGTATCTCCTGCTGCAGCCCGAGGCACCGCCGCGAGAAGATACCCAGCATCTCCAGATGGGTGACAGTGCAGAAATGAAGAGCATGCTGCCAAAAAAGCATCTTTCCAGAGGATGACGGTTTAAAAGACAAGCGCTAGGTACACACAAAATCAACTGCCTACTCTTTCCTTCGGTTCCTCATCTCCCAGGCAGTTCCCCAGCCCCGAAAAGCCTGACACCTCCAAAATATTCAAGCCAATACCGTGCGACAAAGCAAACCCCAATTAGTTCACTGTGGTTTTTATGGTCGTTCCACCAAAAATATATCTCGTCACCTGAAAGAACGTCTTTGACGTGGTCTCACATTCCTACAGTCACAGTTGACGCAGCAAGGGTCACGCTGTGCCCCGGCCAACACTGGGTTACCAGTGTCCGGCCAGCCAGTCAAAGCCACTAGAAAATTTGGCATTTAAAAAGAAATTGTAATTTTGAGTAACTCCTTAGTAAGAATTCTTGTTTTGCTGAAAAGATAATTCATCTGTGTGTATAAAGCATGTACAGAATAAAGTATTGTGTGTATAAACATCTGTGTGTATAAAACATACACAGAAAAAAGTATCCATGTGGCCAAGAACATACAAAAAGAACCTGATTTTTCAAAGACTGAAATCATGCTTTTAAGACAAGCTCCCAGACACCACATCTTGCTGAAAATCCACCCAAAAACCCCAAACCACCAGCGCCATCTCTGTTATCTCCCCCCCTCCTCGGCACGGCAGTTAATTTCTGTGAGCCAGATGTTGTGTTATCCTTTCGGAAGGACAACGGGTGCCGCGTCCCGGTGTGATTTATGCCACGGAAGCAGTGACAGCCGCCGGGGAGGTTGTACAGAGGGACGGTGAGACGGCAGGGACAGCCGGGATTAGGAGGATGCCGGGTGCGCAAAGCCATCGTGGTGGTACCTGACTCCTTCGGGATCGGCTCTAGTTCTCTCATCACCACCATTTTTTCTTCCTCCTCCTCCTCCTCCTCTTCAACTGGGCTTATCTCAACATTGCCAAGAGCACGTTTGGCTAAAAAAGTTATGGATGTGTTAAAATGCCACCTCGAAGATGAAGTAGCAAAGGAAACACTGCCCTCGGTAAATCCGCACGGCCACCTCTCCTGCTTCTCTCTCAGCTTCAGAGCACCAAGGCATGCAGGAAAAACAACAACAGACAGCAAGCTCTTCCTTTGCCATTCAACGGTGAGTTCTGCACTGTCCAGAACTGCTTTATTTTAGTTACGTTTTCCTGACCTGTGGCTATTTTGACATCCGACAATTTAAACCCAGTAAAAAAACCTGCTCCAAATGACGAGATTTAAAATCATCATCACCCCAGCCAAGAAAAGGGCCCTACAGGGAACAAAAGTGTCAAGAGGAAGAAAAAGCGCAAGAGGTGACTGAGAAGAAGGGGCAGCCGCAGAGGAGACCCCCAGGACGTGCTCGGCTCTGACACCACCTGATGGTCCGTCCCATGGAGTATCCTCCAGTGTAAGCGCTGGGGCTGGTTTAGTGTTTTTCATAATAATCACAGAATCACAGAATGGTTTAGGTTGGAAGGGACCTTGAAGATCATTGAGTTCCAACCCCCTGCCCTGGGCAGGGACACCTCCCACCAGCCCAGGTTGCCCAAGGCCACCTCCAGCCTGGCCTTGAACACCTCCAGGGATGGGGCCTCAACAACCTCTGTGGGCAACCTGTGCCAGTGCCTCACCACCCTCAGAGTGAAAAACTTTTTCCTAATGTTTAATCTAAACCTGCCCTCTTCCAGTTTGAAGCCATTCCCCCTCGTCCCGTCACTCCATGCCCCAGTAAAAAGTCACAGAGAAATCAAGAAAAGAGGTGAAGTTCCCAGTTACCTCCACAGCTTCAGTCTCTTCTTCCTGCAATGACTAACCAACTCTGCTTTTAATTACGCTTAGGCTGGATGTGTCTGCAGCAGTGAAGTCGCTCGGAGACCTCTCCCCAGCGAGAGAAGAAGCAGGCAAAGATATAAAGCAGAGAGTGGGTCACCTCCAGCAGTCCCAGAGCACACAACCTGATTTTCAGGCACCGGACGTTCCTAAAGCTCAGGGGAACGAGCTTTACAAGAGGGGACAGTGGCAGGGGGGGGGGTTAGGAGGCCACTGCACACTCACGTCAACACGCAGCCAAGCCACGGCACGGCACCTCCTCGTCTCACCCAGGGGCACACGCCGATTAAAGCAGCGCTCGCGTGTTGCAGCACACTTGCAAAGCCGGGTGTGATTTTAACGGCAACGAACACCACCGCAAACGATGCAACCTCTGTCCTACAGCACTGCATCACTTCAACCCAGCGGGTCCCGGCACAGGCGGCGGCGGGGGGAGCCGCACCGATGCCAAACGCCGCTGCGGCTGTACCTGACCGCGTCTGCAACAGCTCCGGTAACTTTGGCTTGGCAACGGGAACCTTAACCACCTCTACCTTCTCCTCCTCCTCTTCCTCCTCTGCAATGGGTTTCATTTCAAAAGTTTCAAGAGCGTGTTTGGCTAGAAAGAGGTTGGCACACGTTAACAGAGGGGTCGGAGAACCGCGCGGACACACGATGGTCACCGCAGCAGAGGAAAAGAGCGAGAGGAGATCCCTCTCTCCAGGGCAGCGGCTGAGAACAGCAAGGAGGTTTTTCAACCAGGCAGCTTAATAGTAATTCTTCATCGCACATCGGTCTTTCTAGTGCTGCCAGGCCCAGCGGTGTACTGGATGAGAGGGGAAAAGAACACCACAAGCGAAGGTTTGTGGGCTGGTTGCCCAGGCAGGGACACGTGGGGACAAGCGAAGGGCTCTCCAGCACGGTACGAGGACAGGCTCTGCCTGCAAAGCCTGGGGAGACGCAGGTGCCGGCTGGTAAAACCCAGGAAAACACACCCAGGCTCCTCTAGATGAAAAAAACCTATATAAAAGTGAGCAGCTTTAATTAAATGTACTTGGAGTGACCAACTTCAAATCTAAAAACTAAGATACAGCCATCTACCCCGGTGTCTTAAATGTTAATTCCACACCTTCTGTTTTTACAGCATCAGGCTTTCCCCGCCAGGCGATGCTGACTAGCGAGAATTCAAGGCAAGACAGCGGCGGGGAGACAGTCTGCCACGTCACTTTACGAAAGCTCGGTCTAGATTTCATACCAGAAAACCAGCGAGGTCAAAAGCGCGCTGTAAAAAAAGAAAATCAGGGTGGAAGAAGGGAAGTGGAGCAGTACACAATGCGTTTGCGTACGTGTTAACTCCAGCCCTAACACACCGCAGGCATTCGCTATTTAAGCGACAAAGACTACAAATATTTGACAACACCTCTGCTGTGATATGCTTATTAGTATTCAAATACGCTGTGTACCTACACACCTCTTAAGGGCATGAATATTTATTAATAGTATCTATCTTAAGAGAAATCCGAGCTCCGTGTAGCAAAATGGGCGGCATTTCTCAAACCGTCAAAAAAACCCCAGAAGAGGCTTAAAAAATGCCGAGCAGATCCCAGGATGAAGAATTTCAGCAGCTTTACAAGAAGTTTCAGGATCAAACTTCAAAGTTTCCTAAACCACATTTACAAAACCACCCAAATTTAGTAAGGACATATTTCTCAAGTGCCAGCACATCCTAAACTTTTCTCCAACTCGCCGCAAGAATTACAGGCTAACGAGGTGCAAGGTGAAAATTTAACAAGTCTCCCAGAGCTGGGGCTGTCTATTCTCTGACCGAGAAACTCTTCTTGCAAAGAAACGAAAACAGAAAGCTGCCAGATTTGGTGAAACTTGGAGTTGTCAGGAACAAGCATGTAAAGGATAGGAAAGGCGCTGCAGAGAGTTGTAGCCACCACCACAGCTATACCTGTCTTCTCTCGGATCTGATCCGCGGGTTTTGGTTCGGGAACCTCAACCACCACCACCTCCTCCTGCTTCTCTTCCTCTACGGCTCTGAACTCAACTTTTTGAGTCGCACGTTTAGCTGAAGAAATGGGGCACATGTTAACGACTGCCCACACAGCAGATGGAAAAAGGCTGCAGACTTCAATGGGGACAGAAGCGTTACATTCACAGGCTGCTCTTTTCCAAGCTCTGACATTTGGGTGCGGGATTGCAGCGGGGATTTCTCTGCTCATCTGGGGTCGTAACAGCCTACAGGGCACGGCCAAGGGCTGGTCGCCTCGATCCATGCATCGTGCCTGGGTAACCTCGCACGCCCGGACTGCGGGCAAACAGGCGTTTTGCTTTGCTGCGGTACGGAGCTCAAACCAAGCAGCCCTTTCCCTCCCAGCTCTGAGGCAAGAAGCCCATGCTCAGGGTGTCGCTGAGCCCAGTAAACCCACAGCAGGAGCAGGGACAGCCTGGCTGCTGGTGGCCACAGGGTGCTAGGACAGCCCTGCTCCCTCCCGGGTTGCAGAATGACCTCAGGGCTCAAAGCAACACTGTTCCTGCTCTGTCAGGTGCCCTCGGTGCAAAGGGATGCTCCGCTTTGCCCTGGACCCTCTCGATGCAAAGGGATGCTCCGCTTTGCCCTGGACCCTCTGGGTGCAAAGGGATGCTCCACTTTGCCCTGCATCCTCTCGGTGCAAAGGGATGCTCTGCTTTGCCCTGGACCCTCTGGGTGCAAAGGGATGCTCCGCTTTGCCCTGGACCCTCTCGATGCAAAGGGATGCTCCGCTTTGCCCTGGACCCTCTCGATGCAAAGGGATGCTCCGCTTTGCCCTGGACCCTCT